GGCGGGACCTGGACGCCTTGACTCCCCCTTCCGCTCTCGTTCAGCACCAGCGCGGTGGTGCTCCTAGTCCGAGTTCCTATTTCGCCTCGGACTACCTCCTCCTCTTCTTACGACGTTCGCCTTCGTTGGCGAGGGTGACACCTACCATCTACGCAGATGTGCTGGCGTTCCTCGGGGGGCTCTCCTTCGTTGCCCTCCCCTTTGGCCACCATTCCCTCCGGGGTCCGGGGGAACGTTTACTTCCCCTCTTCTCTCTCTCTCCGCTTGCTCCTTTTGAGCCATAACACGCTCACAAAAGAGAGCGAAGGCCTCCCACGCTTCTTCCCTCTCTGTTACGGCCTTCACCACGGCCGGCAGCGAGAGGTCCCCTCCTATTTCATCAGTGAGGGCACGGCGCTCTTCTGCCCACGCTGGACAGCTGTCCAGCGTGTGCTACGCCGTGTCCCTCTCCTCGGTGCAGTGGTGGCACCCTGGGTCGGGTTCCCTTTGTATCCTGTGCAGGTACTCCCCAAAGCAGCCGTGCCCGGAGAGTACCTGCGTCGTCCTATATGACGCCCGCGTCCACGACCGGTCAACCCAGTCGTCTAGGTGAGGGAGGATGGCTTGAACCGTTCTTCTACCCGCGCGGCCCGGTTCGGCCAACCAGGCTCGCCACTCCTCCCTCACCTCCTCCCTTATGCGGAGACTGAGGAGCCTCCTCACCCTCGGCGGTACCGGGATCCCCCTCGCCCTCCGCTCTGCCACCTGCTCGTACACCCGAGCATGTGCCCGGGCGTTCATGGCTATCGGGGGCATCCCGGCCATCAGTGTGGCTGCCGCGTGGGAAATGGTCCTGTAACCTCGGACCGCCCTGACTGCCATGCGTCGTTGGGTCTTGTTTAAGACCGCAATGGCCCTTCGATTCTCTGTCAGGGCGGTCGACCATATCGGGGCTCCATACAATGCTATCGAGTTGATAACATTTGCATAGAGCCGCCGTATCTTCCCACGCGGGCCGCCCAGGTTGGGCATCAGGCGCGATAAGGTGCTCGCCGCCTTATCCAACCTGGGCGTCAGCCGATTGAGGTGCTCCCCAAATTTCCACCTTCCGTCTACGTGGAGGCCCATATTTGATCTGGGCCCCCACCTGGACGCGGACGTCTTCCACCTTT